ACATTTCTTTATCGATGAGGCTGATGTAATCATATCATTCCTCGTTATTCGCCCGCAACTCTTGAAACATTGATTCAAACGTTCGAGGAAGTAGTTCGTAACCTGATCAAAAAATGTATAACTTACTAACTTGCTGTCTTTGCAAAAATTAAAACGATCGAAAGAAAACACAAACTTGCTAAGTTTCACTTACCCATGCGCACAATTAATTGACGCTCATCATTCTTCTTGTACCTTCCATGGTAGTTTGCGGCTTTGATCCCAGCTCCACGATTTGAAATGACACATATGTTTTCCCTCGTGATAACATGTGCCCGTAAATTTCGGAGGAAAAAAGCCCAAAAAGCTGTATCTTCTCCTTCGACAAGAGCAAAAGCAACTGGAAGAATGTTGTGATTGACATCTTGGACAACTGCCAATAATAAAACTTGCTTGTATTTTCCATACAAGAAAGTCCCATCGATCTGGACCACAGGCTTGCAGTATTTGACAGCATTAACGCACTGTGGGTAACTCCAAAAAACCCGGTAGAATTGGCATCGATCGCGAAGAACTCGATCATTATGGTATGCATAGGAGGTTTCGAAGTCCACAATTATCCCAAGATTCAACGTTCGCACCAGCCTAAACCAACCTGGAAGTTCATTGTAAGATGCATCCTATCCGCCATGAAGTTTGACAATGGCATTTTGTTTTGCCAACCAAACTTTTTTATAGGAGATAGTGTACCCATACTGCGATTGTATAGCTGAAATCAACACTGCAACAGCTATATGAGAGCTTGCTTTGACCATGGGCATGATGGCTTGGCATATCACTTTAGAGTCTAAGTTGGGATGATCTTGGTTGACCCCTCTAGCACAACATGTGTGAGGACCGTTGTATAATGTTAGTTCCCAACTGTTGTTTTTCCTCTTCCTCTTCGATACGCGAACCATCCAATTGCATCTGTTTTTGCGCTGGGTACAGTAGCATACATATTTTTCGGTCGTGGAGCGGTCTACTCTGGACTGAACAGAATTACAGATATTGTAATTTTTGATAGCCATCATCGCTTCTTCTTTGCTTGAAAACTCCATGCCTAAAGATAACTCACCATTATTTATTGATGAGTAATACCCATAGTCACCGAGATGAGGCATATACGCAAATTCTGGCCCGTACATTGTACCATAATCAGCTTCATACATGTATGCAGGAGGGTCAGTTTGTGCCACATTTCCTGGAACTTCATCATCATCGGAGTTGAATTACGGTGATTATGGGTCAATGAATAGTTCAGTCTCAGCACCATCCGCACTAGGCTCACGAAGCGGTTCTTCTGGTGGAGATGATGGTTCCTCCATGCTCTCCACATTTAGGTCGACGAACCTACTACTTGCATGCCTTCCCCTTGAACTGGAAGGCATATTGACATTGAGAACGAAAAAGCTCGCAGTCGAATGCCTCCCCTAGAGCTTGAAGCCATCACGTCAAATGGAAACTGCACAGATGGTTGCGTCGATGGCATCTCAATATTAAGGTCAAATGGATTTGCAGATGAATGCCTTCCCCTTGAATTGGACGCGAAGTTGCCATACGGATTGTTCGTGAACCTACCTCGGTATATATCGTAAGGAGTTGCGGATGAATGTCTCTCCATTATGGCATTAAAATCATTACACATTACTGTTGTCGGGCTGTCAACTTGATCAACTTGTTCAGTCAGCCCATAGTGGGAGCTTAATGATTGACCCCGAACAGCACGCACTTGAACAAAATGTGCATACGAAAACATCATCATTGTTCGAAAGTTCAAACGTTGCATAAGTTAATGGCAACAATGATGTTGGAAATCTATATTGCAACGACGACACTCTTCTATTACTTCCAACATGAATCTTCCTCGAAATCTTCGTTATCAGCTCCTCAGGAGTTATGTTTCTCTTGAATGATATTTTAACACGCTCATTTGATACGAAAACAACGCCGGTTTCATCTTCTCGAATTTCACCATCATAATAAACAATAACTGAAAGTCGCGCCATTATTTGAGTTTAAAAGTGCGGCACTATTAAATCTGCAAAAAAAATAAATGAAACAAACCTGATTTAATAAATTATATATGAACGAACATATAACACAATAAAAATTTTACACATCAACGTAAATAAATTAAATAATATAATTTAATATTATTACATGCACCGCAAAAATATTTCGACGTATGCTCCCGCTTTCCAATTTTACAAACACAAAAATTAATTGAAAATAATTAGTATAATATTTTTTCAAATAATCATAATAAACAATAAATATAATAAAAATTATAACAAAATTACCTTATAACGAAAAATCGCACGAACTTCTAAATAAAATATGAGAAGATTGCCAGAATTATTGACTCGTTGACGGAATTGTTGTATTAATTTATAAGTTGAGAGAAGAGATGTGAGAAATTAACCGGCGGAGAATGGTATTTATAGCGAGGAAAGTTATACAAAACGCGGTACATGATCCATGCTATATAAAATTATGTCAGAGTAAAGGTATATTGCGTTACCTGCCCCGCGCTATATAAAATTATGTCGGGAGTAAAGGTATAGCGCGGTTCCTGATCCGCGCTATACCCCTACGTGGCGTATAGCGCGCTGCAGGGGCCGCGCTATACCCATGTGGCATCAGCTCACCGTATAGCGCGGTTCAGGAGGCGCGCTATACCCCACGTGGCGCCAAATCATCGTATAGCGCGATGCAGGGGCGCATTTTACTGTTAAGGGTGTTAAATCGAAAAATATAGTCTGACCAGTGTTAGATCAATAACATTATCGATCACCGGTGATATATCGGGAAAATCGTCGCACAAAATGCCCTTCCACTGCCCTTTAGTAATCCAAAAAATCAGGTTTCCAGTTGTCACTTAACATTTTATTATACTGTTATTATAACAATTAATTATTTTAAAAAAATGAAATCACCTTCATAACCACAAATCCAATATTTGGATCATCTTCCCAAGATGCGTACAGTTCGTGCAACCTAGCACCCTGCAATTGAAAATAATTCCCGCAAATGGTTAATCTAATAGAAACAATATATAAGTAAACCCTAGATAACGTAACAGAAGTTCCGAAACGCAATTGAAATGCACTGAGGGGGTTTACTATGTTTGTATTGAGAGCATTGAGAGATGAAGGTCTGTTGAGAATCGCTATTCGAGAACTAGCTCTACCTTCAACCAGCACCTACTACAGTATGTGCACATACATAAGTTCATATATATCATCGATACTTAAAATTGATCGAATCCAAGGTTTCAAGAGAGAAGTGAACTGACTTGATTTTGAAGATCATCAGCAGAGGAATCGATTGAAATCAAGGATGGGGTTCTCTTGCACCGAAATAGACTGACACGACGATGACGTGTAACAAAACGCTTCAAACTCTGCATTTCGGATTTTCACTCAAAGACTTAGCTCAAAAGTTCAGTAACCGTAGAAACGAGGAGCCAAAATGTCGTGCAAGCTACCATTCCCCTGCACAAATATAGTCTGTGCCGAACTGGGTTTTCGACTTTGGATTTCGTGTAACAGTGTAGTAGCTTTTAAGGCCCATTGATTTGGGTTTCTTCTTGGATTAAGGCGATTTTATGCCCAAGCAAAAGCCAAGCTCTGTTCCAAATCTTTATATCTTAGATCCTTTTGTTGGTTCATCATTTTCATGCTGTAAAAAAAACGACAACGAATCAGGTTTATTCAATTTATAACTAATTGTCGACTCAAATAGTTTATAATTTTATTTATTGAATAATTTAGAGCGATTACAACTTAGACAGTATATATACTTTAAAATCATAATTATTCAAATTCGAATTTTTATAAAAAAAAATATTTGAATTTCTTTTGAGTGAATATATACAAAACTCCCCTAAAAATATATTCTCTTAAAAATCTCAAATTCATATTTTCAGACATGTTTTAATTCACCGATATAAAAAAATTTCTTCCAAATTAAAATAATAAATAAGATTATGAATCTATAACTTTAGACCAATTATCGCATAATCAATGGAGGTTGTCGATTTTACGAAGGACATTCGCTTGACTCTCGATAATGGTTGAGACTCTGCGATAGGACTGTAAATGAGACGAGACGGATCGCGAGCTACTCGAGATCGACTCGATCAAGGCTCGATAAATACTCGGATCGAATGGACTCGACTCGAGCTCAAGCTCAACTCGATTTCTTAACGAGCCGAAACGAGCTACTCGATATTCGACACGAAAAGCTTGTGAGCTCGAAAATATGTTATATTATAATTTTAGATTTTTTAAAATTACATTATAAAAAATTTATTAAAAATACATTATTGATAATTATAAAATCTTTAAAATATATTAAAAAATCTATAATACAACTACTCTCAAATTTTAAATTTTTTTAATTAAGCAACCCAAGTCCAATTGTTACATTGTATATTACTAAAAGAAAAATAAAAGTTCATTTAATTAGGCACATGTTAGATTACACCCTAAATCTAAACCCTAAACCCCAAATCCCAAATCATAAACCCTAAGTCCTAAACCCTAAACTCTAAACCCTTAATCCGATTATGTGATAAGGTACTAAAAGAAAAATAAAAGCTCATTTAATTAAGCACATGTTAGATTACACCCTAAATTCTAAACTCTAAACTATAAACCTTAAACCCTAAACCTTAAGTCATAAATCCTAAACCCTAAACCCTAAACCCTAATCCCTAAGTCATAAACCATAAACCCTAAACCCTAAACACTTAATCCAATTATGTGATAGGGGTTAAGTTATGCACATGAACATATAAATTATGCAAAATGAAATTAATGAAATTAACAAGGGTTTATATGTAAATAAACTAATAAATCACACTTGGTCAAATCAATTAATAGGTCTATTATAAAAACAAACGGTGATTAAAACATAAAATAAAAATAAATTAACAACCCGAATCATAAAAACGTAAACCTTGATTAGTGACGAAATCAGAAGATTACAAATATAACAAGTCCATTATCCGTCGTTGATGCTCTCTTGAAATTTTCTTCTCCACTTCCTTTAACTTTAAATCTGTCCTTCAAATCTGAAAATTTTCTTTCTGTTTGAATACATGCAGCAGTTGACTCCTTCAAATGCTCAGTTCCTTTAGATGATGAATTTGCTAGAGAAGAATCGGCTCTGATCTTTCTAGTCGGATATACTTTTGGCGGTGGTTTAATAGAAGGCCTGGCATCCTGCAGCAGATCATGTTGCAGTGATCTTAATCATGCGCTTATCATGTACAATACTTCAATGTACTTATCATGCTCAATGTACCTGATTTAGACTACCCTCAAATGCACTTATCATGTTCTTTACATTGCTATGTGCTTTCCCTGATAGTCCTGGGTTCAGAATCGAACTTTTGTTTCTGTTATCGGTATCAAATTTAGCATCCTTGGGGATAATTAAGGGGACATACACTTGTCTGGCTTCATTGATTAGTAATCCACTTCGGAGTAGACTTTCTTGTGAACCTTGAGAAGAGGCAGCACCCAATACATCAAGGTCAATCCTTTATACAATTGGCTATGCGGTACAAACGTCGAGTAAGCAAGATCGAACCTGAAACTTCACTATGACCAACAGAAGAATTATTGGGACTTCCATGAACACTTTTGCGAAGCTCTTCATGTTTCTTCTTGAGTGCAGATTCCCTCTGAAAATGAACTAAAAAAAATAACTCAATAGTTATATGGCATGCATTTGATCGTACAGCTCCATGCAGTTCATCATTTAGGATAAAATGTGCACCCATGCCTCCAGTAATGGCGTGAGCGGCATCCATCTTGAAACCTTAGGGACGCCACGATTTGCCGTGTCAAAAAGGGGTGTAACTGAAGTTTATTAATTCAGACTAAGCTTTCTTTGGAGACTTGGTTGTCTTCGATGGAGACTTGGGTTCTTTGACGGCCTTTTCAGTCTTCTTTGGCAGCAAAATTGGGTTGATGTTTGGTAAGAATCCACCGTGAGCAATGGTGACGCCGGCGAGAAGCTTCCCCAATTCTTCATCATTCCTCATAGCGAGCAGCACATGCCTGGGGATGATCCTGTTCTTCTTGTTATCACGTGCAGCGTTTCCGGCCAATTCCAGAACCTGAAATAAAATCAGAAATACAACAAATTAAGAATCATATGAAAGGAAAAGAACCAATCAGTGTTCAGGGTGGAGAATGTGGTGAAGCAGAATCCCACATCGAGTGAGAAAGAGGATGGAGTGGAAGCTGAACTTAATAAATAAGAGGCAACTAGCGTGAAATCAAACTTACGGACGGAGTTTATGGGCCATCATTAAGGCTCATGGCCTAGGCTAGTGGCTTGAATCAAGCTCAATATCAAGCTTGAATTGAGCTCAATATCGAGTTCAATATCGAGTTTAATATTTTTTTGAGTTCGAACTTTTTCGAATTTAAATTGAATTTTAATATTATATTTTGGGTTTGAGTCGAGTTTATTATAAATGGTTTCGAGTTTGAGTTGAGTTTGCGTTACGAGTTTGATTTGGTTTGTTTACATCCCTATTTTGCGATAATTGAAAAGGATATCAGTGTCACTATAAACCGCTTGATTAAACCAAACAGGGACATGTCAATAGTCTAGTCGAATTGATGCTTAATGAAGCACTCACTCTTCTTGTTGTTCTTCGAGTCTCAAAATTCACTATGTGCACCGCAAGGCCAACCGAGTAGCACACACACTCATCCGTTGGGCTTTAAGATTAATCCAACGTGATTTCTTTGAACTTGAATGTATTAACGATTATGTAATTCTCGATTCTATTGGCATTTAAATATATTCTTCCATTTTAAAAATAAAAGTATATTTTTAAAAATTGCTTTTATAATTTAAAATAAATTATAAATTTTCATATATTTTTTAAAAATGTTTCTTAAAATACTTTTAAATTATTATATTAAAATAAAATTTTAGTTATAATTGAAAGCCAAAATGAGATATTTCTATTAATTTTATATGTCTTATTGCTGTCTATTTTATAACAAATAAAAAAATAGTATCTATTTTATAATTTGTGAATGTTTAGTGACTAAAAATATTATTTCAAGATAGTTTAGTGACCATTTTTAAGTTTATCCTATTTCCGTTTATGGGTGATAGGGTTTTTCCTGTAATTGATTGCTAATGCTTTATTCCATCTCGGTTTTTTTTTTCTGAACATTTTTGTTCTTTTTCTCTCTTCCCCTGAATGGTAAAAAACAAATTCACATAATCGGATAATCATCTGGGAATCTATTTCTTGTAAAACAACTCTTATATTACCTGGAGAAATTGCGGAAGACTTTGTGATATCGCCGGTATCCTTCCTCGTATAAACCCTTTTACTGGATTAGAGTAAGTTATTTTGATTTTTCGTGCTTTCATTCTATTCATGATTATCACTGTTTTAGTTTTTACAAAATAATGTACCTGTTTATTATAATTAGCAACTCGGAGAGTATTCAATCTTAGCAATTTCCTTGTGTTCCTCTCATTTCCCATCTTATTCTTAAGGCTTGATTAAAAGTACTAGCTTTGTTGTTTTAAATATTGAAATTCTAGAATTTTCCTTAATTGTTTCTTGCAGTTTTCCTTCATTGAGAAGTGTTGGGGGGGGGGGGAATCATTGCTTTTCGTTGAATCGAATTGAACAAGATAATTCACTTTTGCATGAACGTTGTTCAATTTCAGGTAAAGGGTTCATTTTAAAGGATTTGGAAATGGATGAGAATATGAAGCTATTGCAGCAAAGCTTGATTGAGCTTGAAACTGAAGCTGAACACTTGACATCAGGTAAGCCTTGGTTTATATTCAGACTCTCAGTTCCTAGACGACAACTTCACCAGGTTGGCAGGTTGAGTGGGCCAATAAAATTATTCATCCAAGTCAACAAATTAAAGCTTCTTCCATTCCTTTATTAAAAAGTTAAAATAAACTACCCTTTAGATGTTACAATTTTTTTCTTTCCAATTTCAAATAATTGAATGTGTTTAAGTCATATTAATTTGTAAATGCAGCTGGTTGAAAATGATAAAGTGAGGAATGGGAACAGGGAAGCGCTTACTGCACTGAGGAAGATGGCTCGGACAACAAAAACTAGTGTCCCGTCCCCTTTTGAGTCAATGATGAAGGATATTGGAAACCCTGGATCAAGACCTTTGGTAAAGGAGTTTTGTGCTACTTGTGGCAACCATGACTCAAATGAGTGGACATGGATGATGTTCCCAGGAACTGATGTTTTTGCCAAGATACCATTTCATGCTGCTCACACTATTTTGGAGACAGGTTTGATTTGCAAGTTAATTTATTTTGAAGACTCCGGTGTTTACTTTATTTAGAAAATTTAAATGGAGTTTTTCTTCACTAAGAATTTCTGGATAGAGCTTTGTTGAGTAGCTGGAGAACAGATTGGATTTTGTTGCTTGCAATCACCTCAATCAATTGTTGTTGCTGTTATTGTTTTCACTAACAGAGAAACATTGTTGTGGTAATTGGGGGCATAGAGCATGATTTCATAATTGTAATTAATAGTCACTAGATTTTTTCCCTAGTTTTGTTCATGATTCATGTGCTTGAACTTTGAAGTTTAATTCTTGTCCTTGCTGTTATTCGGATAAAACAAAACTGGATCTTGAAACTCAGAAACTTCAAAGCTTTGTGAAGGAGAAATCCTTTTTGTTATCAGAAAAAGGTGTCCTCGCTGACAAGATTAGTCCTGGTGTGCTTAGATCCTTGGTAGCGTTAAAAGATAAACCATGGTAAGTAAAATTGATTAGATATCAATCTCTATCCTTTGTTGTAACAAATCATATTTATCCTATTCTGTGTGGTAGCTTTGATCATAGGTTTCTTCAATTATGTGTCTTCAGTCTTCACTCTATTTATGCCAACTGCTTATGGACAGCTGATTGTCATGATAATCATAAAGGATGTATTTGTATGATGAAGCTACTAAATTGGCATTCAAAATATAAGTCTTCCTTTGCGTTTTCTCTCTGTAGAAACGGAAATTTTATTCTTATTTTTTGTTTCAGTAACTTGGGAAGCAGGCTACATTAGGGGCGAGCAAGACTCGACTCGAAAACCGATTTTTTTTATTCGACTCGGAAAAATCTCAAGTTCAAATCGAGTTGTAAAATACAACTGGAATAGTAACTCAAAATTTTTAGTAAACAGTGGATTGATTTTCAAGTTTGAGTTGAACCCACCGACTCTGTAATATATGTATATCACATATGGAAAAAATATAAATAATATATGTATTGTATATGATTATAGAAAATCATTTAAATTGGAATCAAATAATATTATAATATTATAAATATTTACAATTAAATTTAAACAAAAACTCAAAATTTCGACTTGACTTGAAAAACTTTCAAAGTCAACTTCGAGTTATAAAATAGAACTTGTCAATTCAAAATTTTTTACTCGACTCGATCGAACTCTGACCCCTAGGCTACATTATGCATTTCTTAGTGTCATGGTCCATTTCTCGCGTTGTACTGATTATTTGTATGCAAACATGCTACTTCTTCGTCACTATTGCATTCACCATCACAAGGCTGAATTCTACATGTGCTTTCTTTATCCCTTGAGAGTTATGTGAGGCTGCCATTTCCATTTTCACAAATGTGACTGCAAATAGCGTTTAGTTCCTTCTCTTTGGAAGTTTTTCTCCCGTCCTACTTTAGTTGAATGTCAGGAAGGTCGTTATCATATTCCGAAACCATTCAGATTTATGCTTAATGCAATAATCTTGTTTTCACTTGGTTCCCTGCCCCCCCTCCTCCCATTCGCCAGCCATCACCGACAGAAACAAAGGCTGCTTCTAGTGTTTTTAGCTCAAACAAACATTATCCTGCACACTAACTTTTTTATGGATGATTTATGTTTAAAATCACCTAATTTGCAACTACCATTGTTTGTTCTTTTTTGCAGATTTGTGAGATCTGTCTGATGTGAACGTTGCTCTTTATAGTGAGGTGGGAATTATCTTTGAATAGGAGTATCTGATAGATATAGGAGCATGGACGAAATTTATCAATCAATCATTGCTTTGTTGAGTGCTCTGTTAGCATTGGTTTTGTCAAAGAACAGCATCGTTGAATCTACTTAAGTATAAATATCTCGTGCTAGGTTATATTTTGTAAGGACCCTTTCAACTTATTGAATTGACTTCCTCTCTAAAGGCGATGTTAGAGTTGTAGCATTAATGCAGTCATTATGCGGATCAAGTTCTTGCTTGTTCTATATCCACTTAAAGCATCAAAAGTGATTTTGTCCCGCACCACGGAAATCGCTACACAAGCTGTGTCGTTATCTCACCTATCTTTGTTATCTCTCGTGTACTTTCTCTGGTTTAGTTATCTCAGCATCATGGAACCGAGTACGTGGTCCTCAATGTCATGAACTTGATGTCCATCGAGTCTTTTTCACCAACTCCGAAAGTCAAACTTAGAACACCCGTCATTGATTTTGTCCCACACCATGGAAATCCCTACGCATTATGTGTTGTTATCTTGCCTATCTTTGTTCACTAAAATACAAGAGAGACAGAGGTAAAGTTCACATGCTGCTTTTTTAATTATTTGCTCTCCACATTCACTACTTTCTCTGCAAGTAGTTTCTCTCGGGATCTATGTCGAACTTAAAGGATCTTTAGAGCTTCCCATCACTGCATTCTTGAAATTAATAGCTTCCTGAACTTGTGAACATATCTGCATCTTTACTCCACATCTAGACTGCCATTTAGTTGAGCGAAAGCCACTTTTTTTGCCACGGCTCAGGCCTTTGCTTAGGAGAACTTTGTGACCTCAATTTAGCCTTGACAGAGCGTGTGTTTGCCATATAATTGGGAAAATCCATCTACTGTGAAAAATAGTACAGTGGCACATACACTCCTGGTCGGTGTAACTGGGGCATTACCGACGTAAAAACTAAAAAACCGACTCATACTTTGTGCCTTTGAGAACCTGCCATTCCTCTCCTGTTAATCCCCAATCGGTGTCTCAAAAATGGCATCTATCTGGTATCGATAAACCAGCTGGAGCTCGACATGGAAGCGGAATATGATGGGTCGTCACCAAAATCTGATACAGAAGCATTGGTTCTTCGAGATCTCGATTTCGGTCTGCCTGTATCAACCTCCACAATTTTGGGAAATTAATGTAAGTCATCGCACAAGAGTCGAGAGAAACCGACGATCTTTTGCTATGGATCGAAACAGTATGTTCACTCCTCGTATCATCGAATCTCCCCTGCAAAATGAGAATTTTAACAGATTCAGATTTTTTTTATTTTTTTCAAATTGTTGTCTAGAAAGATTGAAAAAATAATTATATAAAATCTTAATTCTAATCGAGACATCAAATGAAATGATATGTTATATTATTATTATAACGATAATTAATGAGATAACGATCATTTTATAACTAAATTAAAAGTTTAGCATTTATTTTATAATTTTAAAATTTTGGTAATAAAAAAATCAAATATTTTAATGATCGTGTACTTCCCTTAAAAATAAACGTTGAATTAATGAGAAACCCAATGGTTTGGATGAAAACAAACGTAACAAGTTACTGTTACAAAGAAAGTGATGACAATTGTAGTCCTGAAATCAAGCCTTGATAAACCAAGCAAGTCTAATACTCGTACTTCAATTCAATTCAAGCTACATGTGTTTCCTCCAAGGAATTCCACAACTCCGAACACTCTTCTTCCTCGTCCTCGGTTTTGCCCCTCGCATACAACATTCCGGACGCTGAGCTCGAAGCTTGCATAAGATTCAATGTCAACTCAGCACCAATTTCCTGGAACTTGTCCCAACCCTGAGGAGGCTCAGGAAACAAGGGATGCTGCTGAACGTCCGTACCAGGATGGGCCTCTCCAAGATCTTCCATTTCATGGTTCAAGTGCCAGTCTCGATCGAGTATAAGCTGCCGAGCCAGAACGGCAGCACGATTTTCAGCGATCAGCTCGCGTAAGGCAGCACTAGATCTTGTGGAGAGATCAGACGGGGAGATCCAAGAATCAGCTTTAGATGACAGAAGAGAGAAAGCACGTCCTTTCGGGGACGATAGGTGGTATGGAAATCTCCCGGTCAAAAATTTATTATCTGTCGGAGAACATACTTTGTCACACTTTCAGCCTGAGTTCATAAATCACATAATTAACTTCTACACTACCTCCATCACTAAGTACAGTTCCGAGTCACACGAGTTAACAAGAACAGGCTCAATAGTAAATGAATTTCAACAGACTCAGACCGGCCGTATTCAAGCTACAGGGATTCAATTGTGACTACCTCGGCAAATGGAAATCTTGTCCAGATCAAAAGCAAATCAATGACAAAAAAGAAATCCCTAACCCCAAGGAGAAGATTCATAAATCATAACAAAATGCACTTTCCAACTAGTAAGTTCAGCATCAGCATGAATATACTGCAAAAAAAAGAAGAAAAAAAAGGAAGAAAACTATCCATAAACTACACTGTCGCATAAAATAAAGAATCGACTAAAAAAAAAAAAAAGAGTACCTTGAACAGAGTTCCTAGAAGAATCATGAGCGGTTTTCCTCCTACGCTCATTGTGGCCAGCCAATCTCCTTCTGCAACTCCTCTTTGAGTCGTCAAATTCTGACACCTCATGAAACCTATGCCCATTTACACATACATCCATCACCTCTTTAAGAATTACCACACGTTTCTTACTACTTTTATGTCCGTATGCAAATATGTAAAACCCTAATAAAATAAAGCAAAGGAATGAAGACAAATGTATGAAAGCAAAAAAAAAATATATGTTGCTTAGATAAAATGGGAAATGCAACTGATGAGCAATGTACTTTTATGCATACTTTTAGCCGTAAAATGGAAAATGAGGAATGGATGGGAGAATTAGAAAGGGTTACCTGCTACACTGTTGACAAAAACGCTGCTCTAACCCTAGCACAACTACCATGGGTGCCCTCGAGTGCATCTCACAAACTTTATGTCTCCGGTGATACTCTTTAGCATTCACCAGCTCAACATCACAACCTTCGACTAGACACCGTGGTACAGTCGCCGGAATCCCTATGACAGCTATAGACGACGAAGGAGGCTCAACACCACTACTTACGCCGCCGCTACCGTCACCACCAATATGGTTGCACGCTTTACTTTTCTTTCCTACGGAGAACACCACCGACCAGGTGTCGCTCGGTCAGAGGTGCGGAGGAATCATCGAAGTAGTGCCTCTTGCCTAGATTCAAGCAAACGAGGTGAGGGTCAGGGTGCATACGAGACCCGCCGCCGGTATAAATCGAGTGTTCCTGGTTCAAGTGGTGGGTGAGCGTGACATTAACATGGTGAGGAAGGAACATAAGCGGTAGGTCAGTATTTAACTCGGGGAGTGTAAAGGAGGGTGATGAGACAATCTCCGCCCTGGTGGTGGCGGTGGGGTACAAATTGAAGGCGTTGCCATTGATATTATTGTTGCCTCCCCATTCGAATCTCGTAGTCGCAGTAGGATTAAGCTCCCGTAAGTCCCAGGC